GAAAAAAAGAAAGATTGAGAGCGGGGCACATTTCAATTGGGCAGATGACGTGACGGGCCAGCTCGAAATCAAACTTAAAAAAGGGGGAAAATATCCCATGATTAACAATTGATCCAAAGCCAGCTACGAGGGCCCGCGGGACCTGGAACAAAAAGGTGTTCATGATACCGCATTTTCCTGCTCTAAATTGGAATTTTGAATGGTTCCCAAAAGACATTACGGAAAGGAAAACAATAAATAACAACACGATATGACTACCATCGCCGCCACTAAGCATAATCCCATCATGTGAGTGTCATGGAAAAACATGGAACGGAAAATGCCGAATCTACAGACACATATACGAATGTTATTTGAAATGTATGAGATATATGTTGACATGCTATACATGCACACACACACACACACATTTATATATATACATTTATAGACACACACACACATTTATATATATATTTATAGACACACACACACACATTTACACATACAGATTCGATACACAAGGCTCACATAAACATCCCCGTGCCAATCCACAGCGAAAAAGCGTAATAGACTTAGATTCCCGCGCGAAGGGCCCGGTCCCCGCGTGCTGAATAAGGCAGGATCATGATCTCATTGGTCGTGTACAAAGCAGCTTGGAAACAAATGACCCGTTGCCCCTGAGCCTTCCTCCGCCGGACAAATTCTCTCCGCGGACCCAAGACAGTAGCGAGCCACGTCGGGGCCTTAAGGGCGACCCCGCGCTGCACCGAACCCGTCCCTTTCGACCGTACGAGCGCGCCGTGGTCGAGATCCTCTTGCGGGGAGCCGAGTGTAGAAATGCTAAAACTAAAGACTTCACCGACGGCGGCCACAACGAAGCTACAGCAGATGGAAATATGAATTGAGATCCCGGGGGCTTACGAGGGGCTCTGACAGGATATTCTCGAGAAGAGCCCATACACTTGCTGCCACGGACGGTATATTGACGATTAGAAAAGGGCCTTCAGGTTCACAGGTCTCCCCAGGTCTCCCTCTCGCCGTGGAGGGGAAAAAAAGGACGGACGCTGGCGACAGCTTTCTATTATCTCCATCCTCACTCTTCTCTTTCTCTCCCGAAAAGAAGAGAAAAAGATCCCTCCCTCCCTTAAAAAACGATAGCATTCCACGCCAAAATAAGTGAAGAATGGTTGGAAGAGGAGGATGAAGTGACCTGCTTCATTCATCCAACGAGAATACTGCAGGAGGGGAGAGCTTCCATATCCCGAAGCCACCGACATGCAGCCAGGTGATCAGACTGCCCGGTCACAACTCTAAAGCAGATTTTGAGGTTCGGGGAGAGAGAGAGAGAGAGAGAGAGAGAGAGAGAGAGAGAGAGAGAGAGAGAGAGAGAGAGAGAGAGAAGAGAGAGAGAGAGAGAGAGAGAGAGAGAGAGAGAGGAGATAGAGAGAGAGAGAGAATGGAAGAGAGAGAGAGAGAGAGAGAATAGAGAGATAGAAGACAAAGAGAGAGAGAGAGAGAGAGAGAGAGAGAGAGAGAGAGAGAGAGAGAGAGAGAGAGAGAGAGAGAGAGAGAGAGAGAGAGAGAGAGAGGAATAGAAGAGAAGAAAGAAGAAAGAGAGAGCGAATATTAGAAGTAGGCGAGACAGAGAAAGAGAAATCTGTCTGTCTGATTTTGAGATATTTCCCTCGAGTATAATTGTCTATAGTTCCTCCTCCTCGCTTTTTTATAGTTCGATTAATGGGAGAACTCGGCCGGAAATGCGATCGAGGTGTATTGTTTTAGGATGCCGTTTTATCCTTGATTAATATATATAATATATATATATATATATATATATATATATATATATAATATATATATATATATATATATATATACACACACACACACACACACCAGACATATATATACACATATATGTATATCAGTATGTATATATTGCATATATATACTCATGTGTGTATTTATGTATGGTTGTGTATGTTCTCTCTCTCTCTCTCACGTACACACACGAGCGTGCGCGCGTGCACATACACACGAAAAAAAGAAAACTATAACGGCATCTTTGTCGTTTTTTTCCACCCCTCTTTTTTCTCTTCTTTTACGAGTTCCGAAAGATGGAAGTCATCCCCCTTTCCTCTGTCAAACATCAGCATAATGTTGCCAACAATGGAGAATCTGCTAATGAAAAAGCTTGCGTCTCAGTGATTAAAAAAAGCTATTCACATTGTGGGCATTGTGGGTAAACCCTCCCCCTCCCTCCCTCCCTCTCCTCCCTTCCCCTCCCCTGCCCCCCTCTCCCCCTCCCTTCCCCGCCTCCTTCCGCTAAGGAGTCTCAAGAGAAATCCCGCGAAAATATTGTCTTACGTGGCCATAAGGCACAACGCGAAAATAAGAAAGCGCGAAAGAATGTACATTTGTCCGAGAAAGCAGCACGGAACATTACTAGAATTTGTTTATGTGTTAATAGATCGTTTTTGTTTTCCCTTTTTTCCTGTTGAGAGCGAGTGACCAGATGCCGGAATGGCGGTGACAAAGAGAAAATAAGATGATAATAATAATAAGTAAAGAAGAGATAATGATATCAAAGATGATAATAATAACAATAGTAATAGTAATAGTAATAATAACAATAATAGTGATAATGTTAACATTAATAATCATAATCATTATCATAATAATCTTAATCATTATCATAATAATCATAATCACTATTATAACCATTATCATAATGATTATAATAATTATAATAATAATCATAATCATTATCATAATTATTATAATCATCATCTTAATAAGAATAATAATCATAATAATAAAAATAATAATCATCACCATTATTCTCATCATCATCTTAACAATAATAAATAATAAATGTAAAATAAATAAATAAATAAATAATAATAAAATATAACTAATAACAATAACAATAAAGATAACAACGGAATGACCACGAACAGCGGCAGCGGAGCCTCCACCCCCGCCAGCCCCGGAACCCGAGCGGCGGCATCAGCGACGACGACGGTCTGACGGCACATTGTTCGTGTACGGCTCGCTCTAGCATTCAATTTTTGGCACTGCGGTTCGAAGGCTGGGCCGGGGGTGGGGGTGGGGGTGAGGAGGTGAGGGTGGGGGAGGATGGGAGGGTGGATGGAGGCAGGGGGAGGTGGGGGTGAGGAGGGTAGGGTGGGTGAGGATGGGGAGGAGGGTGGATGGAGGCAGGGGAGTGAGGGTGGATGAGGGAGGCGGGGGTGGGGGTGAGGAGGGACGGGATAGAGGAGGGAGGGGGTGAGGGTGGATGGAAGCAGGGGGGTGAGGGGTGGATGGAGGGGAGGGTGGATGGAAGAAGGGGAGGTAGGGTGGATGGGTGGGGAGTGAGGGTGAAGGAGGAACAGGGAGTAGGCGGGAGGGGGATATGGATGGGTAGGGTGGCGAGGGGAGGGGGAGTGCGTGCGTGTGTGTACGAGGGGACTAGGGTCGGTAGGGGTAGGGGGCATGCGGACAGACCTATTCTTTGTGTGGTTTTTACATATACCTCCTCCCTCCTCCCCCCCTCCCCTTTCTCTCTTGATTCTTGTCTTAGCGCATCGAGCATGAGTCCTTACCCGGATGTCGCTTTAAGGGGAAGGGAGGGAGAGGGGAGGGGAAGGGGAGGGGAAAGGAACAGAAGTAGGGAAACAAACAGAACCACAAAGACGGAAGAAAACAAGTGAACAGATGTGCGCGCGCGCGCGCGTGCGTTCGCGATCGTGCGGACAAGAGGGAAAAATAATTAAGCGAAAAGCGCGATGAATATCCTCTATTTTTCCTTCTCTTTCATTCCGTAATAAACGCGTTCTGCTCCGGATGAGGTCTGCCACGCCAATCACGAATCGGTCTCTCCTTCTCTGTATCGGATTCGCTACTCTCTCCCTGTCTGCGAAAGACGTGATTCGCTCTTAAATCAAACCGGATAATTACTGATTCTCAATAACTTTGCTTAAAATCCTCCTTCCTCTTTTTTTCCTCAAAGTCTTGTCATCAAAGCCTTAACGACGGGAAAGCACTGACACATAAAACACTCAAAAGTTTCTGTGCATTTTAAAACCGATTCGAATTCCGAACACCGTTTCCTACAGCTACGACTTCCTCCTCGATTTCGGATACAGTTCCTCTGCTACGACGAATTTTCTCCTCCAGGCCCGTGAACAAAAGCGCCGAGGCTCTGCAGCAACAAGTCCGTGCTCGCGCGCGCGCCCTCCCTCCGATAAGAGCCAGCCATCAGCCGAAGCGAAGACATCGTTGGCGAACGTAAACAAATCAGTTCCGAACATTGAGAAGCAGTTTGTCTCGCGGCTTCGGAGGCGGCGGAGGCAGTGTCGGACGGTTAAAAAGACCCAACGAAGCTCAAACAGGTCGTTTTGTGGGTGTAATGAGGCGGTCCCACCCTCCGCCGCCGTCTGTCCCGCCACCACTTGCCTGATTAAAACGGACAACACGCTGTAACGCTGCTGTTGCTGCTGCTGTTCTTGCTGCGTTTGGGATTGTGTAGTTGTATTGCTGCAGTACTGTAAGGGTTTGCGGTCTCTGTGCGTTGCGAAAAATAAAAATGGCGCTGGGATGTAATATGTTTCCTATTTTTTTTCCAGCCCACAGACGAAGTATGAGACGATACTAAGATGTATTATGTTGTAAAGCGAATTGAAATAAAGATAAAACAAGAAAATAAGAAAATCGAAATACACGGAGAAGGAGACGTATAAACTATTTGTATTGACTGTTTCGAGATGTGAAACCCTGTCGCTACCAGACGTGGAAGGTAATGCCACTGGCCCTATGCCATCCCTTTCTTTCAGCTACGATAAGCAAAACAGACAAAGAAACTGCTGTGACTGGAGAAGATCGCCTTGCGCCTCGAAAAGCGGTTAACGGCGACAGCGGACGACACACGAATAAAATGAAGAGACCGAAAACAAAATGGCAACCGAAATATTTCGCCGCAGAAGCGAAATTGAAAACACGAAAAGGGGGGTACTCACCTGTCGATGATGACGGGGTCTGAAGGCGTCTCGTTGCGGTTTCCACAGCTCTTCTTGTCGCAGCACCGGCTGGAGGAGAGAGAGAGAGAGAAAGGTAAGATCACAAGGTTATTCTTGGTTCATTTACACAGTATAATATGATGTAAGATTTGCCTCCGTGTATGTGTAATCCAATTAAGATTAAGTCGGAACAACGAGACATGATTAAATCCTTGCGTTCATCCTCTCCTTGACCAAACCCAGGAGACCCAGACGCGAGAGCAGATATGACGAAGACCGCGAGGCTTTGACAGGATTTATTAGCTCCTCTATATTAGCACAAGACCGCGCGAACACCTGGACGTTAATTTCTCCTGCGTTAGAATATCACGGTGTCCCATTTGGCTCCGTCTGTCCGTCCGTCCGTCCGTCTGTCCGTCTGTCCGTCTTTGACACGCCTACGTTATAAATCTGCAAATCGTATTACTCTGGACTGCTATACGTCAATGAGAACTTGCAGGCACACATATACGCCCCGCCGTAATATGAAGGAGGTCCACATGTAGCCAAAATGAACAAAGGACATTAGGGGGCCCGGCGTAATCCAATTCTGGTAAGGGCTCTTGAACCGTTTCAAAGGACGTGCGCATATGACCCTAAGCCGAATTAACCCTTTATTGGGATCCGAATCGCGAGGATAAGATTCCGTATTGCATTTCGCTTCCATTCAGCAAGATTCAGTGCTAGTTTCGATCCTTGTGATGTGGTAATATCAATGTTTTAGTTCCCATGGGGTAGGGCGAGCGAGGGAAGAAAGAAAAACATGCAAGGATACCTCTTCCCTCCTCCCTCTTCCCCCTCCCTTTCCTTCCTTCATCCCTCTCACCCCTCCCTCCTTCCCCCCTTCCTGTCCCCAATCCCTTCCTTATCTCCATTCCCTCCACCCTCTCCCTCCCTTCCTTCCTTCCCTCCACCCCTCCGTTCTTCTGTAATCCAAGAGGCCCGACCACAAGACCGCCGCCGTTGGCACGACCTCCCGAATAAGGCGCCGCCCCTTCGCCTCCTGTCGGGCGATGAGCTACCGCGCAGACAGCCACGAGGGCCCTTCAAGCGGCTGGAGAAGGGACCCTCGCCGCGGCGGACAGAGTGCCCTTCATCCCGTGGCCGCAGGAGGGTGGGAGCCAAAGGGGGTGAAGGATGATGTGTGGGGACGGGGAGGGAGGCGGTTGAAGGATGGAGGACGGGCAGGACGGAGGATGGGCTGTTGAGGACGAGGGAAGAGAGGGGAGGAAGGGGAGACGGGAGGGACGTCGGTACGGACTCGCTCTGGGGGCGCTGCCCTTCAACACCATCTCTTTTTTTGCGGGCGGGATTTGTTTGTGATTTATGGGCGGACAAAAAGTGAATGCGATTGGTAAGGGAGAACAGCAGGATGTTGTTGCGCCGTGGGGAGGGGCAGGGGTTCCTGGGGGTGGGGGGAGGTAGTAAAAAAACGGGTGATGGGGAGACCTGTCGTCGCGGGATATAAAACACTAAAATAATGGGAGGATATCGGGATGGAAGATGGAATGGAATGGCACGAGAGAGAGAAGAGAGAGACGAGAGAGAGAGAGAGAGAGAGAGAGAGAGAGAAGAGAGAGAGAGAGAGAAGAGAGAGAGAGAGAGAGAGAGAGAGAGAGAGAGAAGAGGAATGAAAGAAGAGAGAATCACAAAAAAGAAACAAACAGAAAGACAAACCAAACAAACAAATATACAGACAACCAAACAACCAGAGAGAGAGAAACCGAATGAACCAGAGAGAGAAAGCGAGAATGAATGAACGCCAGGAAAATGGAAAGAAAGAGCGGCCATTCGAAATTATTGCAAAGGGAGAAAGCCAAGCAAAGACCTTCAGTATAATAAAGAACGAGACAACGCCACCAATGTGTATGGAAGGGGAAGTATACCATGGGAGTGAGAGGAGGCATAGAATGAGGGCGAAGGGTAAGCAGCGATGAAAGCAGGAAGAGAGAAAAGGGGGAGAAACGGCACAGAAAAGCGTTAAAAGGAAAATAACGCTAATAATCACTGGTTTAAGATGAATGAGAGATGGGGAGGTGTTAATGCCACAGGGAAGGGTCGGGGGCAGGGGAAGGGGAGGAGTGAGGGAGGGAGGCAAAGGCACCGAGGGAACATGTAGGTACAAAGGAAACATTGAACAACATACATGATGTAAATCTCAACAGTTGAACACTCAATATCCTACATAGAGGCAACATGACTTCGCAGAGAGAGAGAGAGAGAGAGAGAGAGAGAGAGAGAGAGAGAGAGAGAGAGAGAGAGAGAGAGAGAGAGAGAGAAGAGAGAGAGAGAGAGAGAGAGAGGAGAGAGAGAGAGAGAGAGAGAGAGAGAGAGAGAGAGAGAGAGAGAGAGAGAGAGAGAGAGAGAGAGAGAGAGAGAGAGAGAGAGAGAGAGAGAGAGAGAGAGAGAGGAGAGAGAGAGAGAGAGAGAGAGAGAGAGAGAGAGAGAGAGAGAGAGAGAGAAATAAAGAGAAATAGAAAAAAGAAAAAGTAAGAGAAAGAGAAATAGAAAGAGAGGGAATGAAAGTGAAAGACAGAGAGAGAGGAGGAAAAGAAAAAAAAAAGAAAAGAGAGAGAGAGAGCGGTGGCATGTACAAGTGCAATAAATTCGCGCACATCAAAGTCTACCAACTAAAGGTCGATGAGGATGTAGTGCCATGTGGTCGTAAACAAGGCTGCAGAACTCGACGACCACATGACACTCGCGCATGACTTCATGACGTCTGAATTTCTTTCTATTGTTGCTCATTCAAACTTTATTTGGCCTCTCTCTTTTTTGTTTTGTTTTTAGACATTGTTGATCCATTATGTTGTTTATAGTTCTGTGTGTGTGTGTGTGTGTGTGTGTGTGTGTGTGTGTGTGTGTGTGTGTGTGTGTGTGTGTGTGTGTGTGTGTGTGTGTGTGTGTGTGTGTGTGTGTGTGAGTGAGTGTGCATGCGTACGCAGAATTTACAAATATGTAGACATTTGCTCGTTACCTGTTGGTTATAAACGCACGAATAATTTTAAAAACACTAAAATAAAGGAAATTAAAAAGAAGAAGAAGAAGAAAAACAATAGACGAAGAAAACAGCATGATAAACACAATAGCATCGATTCACATAGAACCCAATAAATTCACATAGAACCCAATCGCCTATCACAGAATCCAATCGCCTTTCCAACAATCCCAATCCTACCTATGAAATCTCTTTACGCGCGCCCCCTACATCTGCTATTCCGTCATGGCTGCGGCACCTGTGATGTTAGGACAGGTATGAGAATGATGATGATGATGCAGGCACAACACAAATAACTAATTCAGTCCATGTTTAATCCTCTATGATGATAATAATTACGTTATTGGTGTCGTAAGGACCAATTTGTGACTTACGAGGGGATCGCGTGAGGACCTTAAAAGAACCGCTACAGTGACGCTTAGGCCAAAATTATTCGGGCCGGACTCGGGATAATCGCCTTTATAATGGGATGCAATAAAGCCGGTTTTATAACCTCGTTTGATCGGAAAATGGATCTTCCAGCCTGGAGAGCTATTGCCCGGTAGGAAGCAGGAGGAGGAGGAAGAGGAGGGGTGAGGGTGGGGTGGGGTGGGGTGGGGGGAAAGGGAAGGAGGTGGGGAAAAGAGTAGGAGAAAGAGGGAGGAAGAGAAAGATGGGAGGAGGGAAAGAGGAAAAGTGAGAAAAGAAGAGAAAGAAAGGAAAGAATTAACGGCAGGTAGGTAGGTAGGGAGAAAAAGAAGAAGAAGAAGAAGAAGAAGAAAGAAGAAAGAAAAAGAAGAAGAGAGAAGAAGAAAAATAAGAAGAAAAATAAGAAAATAGAAGAATAAAAAAGAAAACAAAAAGCAAAAAAATAAAAACATAAGGATGATGAAACGACGGAAGAAGAGTATTTAAGGAAAAGATTAATCCGTATTTCGAGAGCATTATACGAGGGGTCATAAGGATAAATTGCGCCTTGATAAATGGCTTCCGAGGGTCATGCACTCTACCCATTAGCTTTCTCCGCATATCTGAAAACAATTAGCGATCCGCGGGTTTTGGGTGATGGATGACGGGCGGGGGGCGGGCGGTGGCGGGCGCGGCGGTGGGGGTGGGCGGGGGGCGGAGCGAGGTCAACTTGATGGGCTGACCTTCTTCGTCGGCTGTTGAATCGCTTGACCTTTTTTGTCTTGGTATTTTCTTGATTATATATATATTGTTTGATGAAATTATTATTTGTCTATCTTTTTATTATTTGACCTTTGACCCGCTTAATCTTTTGACTTCTGACCTTTCATTATCTCATGTTTAATCATTTGACCTTTAGCCTTTTTTTATCTACTGTTTCGTCATTTGATATTCCCTTATCTACTCTTCACTAATTCAGTAAATTACTTGGTCCTTCTTATCTACGATTCACCTAATTTCCTGACTTTGTTTTCAGTTATTTGACCTTTAAAAAAAATAATATTTAGTTATTTGTCTTTTCTTTTTATCTATTTGTTTTATTATTTGACCCATTTTATCTACTATTTATTGTTATTTGCTTGAGGAATATTCAGAGACAAATAAGAGAGAGAGAAATCTAAAAAAATGATTAGTAAAAGAGAAAGAGAAAACGAAAAAAAAAGAAAATGAAAAACCACTTCCAAGAGATAATAAAACTCCCTTACCCGTCTTCCCCCTCTCCTTCACTCCCTCACTCCCTCCCTCACACCCCTCCTTCCTTCCCCTCCACTCCTCCTCCTCCCTTCCTCCCTCCTCCTCCTCTCTCCTCCCCCCTCCTCACTCCTCCCCCCTTCCACCTCCCTCCCCCACCCCCCTCCACAAGACCCAGCGACAAAACCGGGAACACGCGCAACATATATATACATATATATATATGGCACCGCTATAAAGAATTGCAATACAGCAAGGAGTTCTGGAGCAATTAGGGACAAGCATCTTAAATTCATTTTAGTGCCGCACTTAAGAAGGATTAGCCGTGCAATAGCGTCCATGAAGGGGGGGAGGGGTGTCTGTGGGTGAGGGGGGAGGAGGAGGGGGTGTCTGT